TATCCTTCGGAGCTTCGTGACGAGGGGGGGCCGTCATATTTTCCTTCATTTTCGCATCAACTTGCTTCCCTTTAGAAGCAAAGGGGCGGGTCTCTTTCTTCTTATATTCCTTCCTCACAATGGGTATCAAAGTCTTAGCCTTTTGGCTTTGCTTGGTGACACGGGTCTGAAATCCTTCACTATCAGTCAAAACTTTCTTGCTAGAAGAGGGTTGCTCATTTGTAGTAGCCATATTAGTATCAGAGTTTGAAATAGCATTCAAACAAGAGGTATTAGAATGACCAAAAATATGACATTCAGTGCACATAGGTGGTTTCCATTCATATTCAACACGAAGAGTATACAATGTCATAGCAAGTGTGTCCGGGTCGGGGATCCGGACTTTCACCTCATCAATCCAGTTCTCCCTAACAGGAACCTCAAGAAGGACCCGGGCAAAAGCCGATTTACCAGCCTCATATTTGCACATATTAACCGTCCACGAGTCCATAGCAAGAGGGATACCTATTTTACTAGCAATGTGACTAAGACCCTCATCGTTCCACGCATCATACGGAATATCATGTATACGAACCCAWAGMGRAATYTTATCATGCAAATTGGAATTTAAATTAAGACCCGGCCTCCATTTTTGAATAAAAATAGGAAYATTTTTAAAATTCCAAGGGCCATTATCGATCACCTTTTGGAGACCATCGACAGAGCTAAATTTAAACAGGAAAATACCATGGCTATTTAAGAGCACATCTTCGATACCATATTGAGACCACAATTTTGAAGCATAAAAACGAACAACCGGAAAAGGAAGGCGCTTACCAACAAAATAGCCACATAAGGTTCTAGCGTACGTTTCACAACTCTTTTTAACCACCAAAATAGGGATATCAATAGGGGTGTCCACATTCTCACTTAGATTGGGGATAAAGTGAAAATTATCATTAGCAAGTTTATTAGAACCACTAAGGACATGCGCAAAAGAGTTAGGCAATAACTTAGAATTTTTACCATTCCAAACATTTTTAGGATTATTATTATTTTTACCATTCCAAACCTTATCATAAGCAAGATTATTAGAACCACTAGGATTATTATCAAAATTATTATTTTTTGAGAAACTAGGATTAGCATTTTTAAGTGGAGCAAGCGATGGTGCAAGCATACCCATGGGTGGGGAAACAGCAACATCCAGGGGGGGAAAAAGAAGAGAATTAGAAACATAAGGGGTGGGAGAAGAAAAAAAAGACAGACCTGGGCTTGGGGCCTTTCCAAGTAAAGAAGGCTGGACCCTTAGTTCCTCACCTTGGGCTTGATTAAAAATGAGATCCACATGCTTAGCAAGTGGGCCTGCTGGAGACGGCCCGAGAAGAGAATCATTGGCCAGAAGGCCAGCCTCGCAAGAGGAGCTTGGGCTTCTACTAATCTGAACATCACTTGGGTTATCTAGGCCACTTGAGTCATCACATTCCATAGAACTAGGCTGAACGAGATTTGGGCTCGTATTAGACAAAACAGCCGGCCATGGTCCAAGAATAGAGGGATGGTCCGAAAGATACTCCTTGGGCTTCAAAGGAACAGGCCTATCTAAAAATAATTCATCATTAATCCTTGGGCTCGTGGATTCAAAAGAACGGGAGCTCTTCTCATTCAACTCCAAACCAGAATTTGGACCATCAGCATCATTAATACCCAACAGCCCCTTTTCCAACGATTTTTCTTTTTCAGCAACTAAACAATTAAAATCTTTCCCATTCTTGTCTTTAACCAAGAAAAGTTGATCTTTTTCCATTAGGTTGGG